CTAAGCCTGGCCGTGGTCGGCCCGTAGGTGCGTGAGCGCACGGTCCACGGGCCTCTTAGCAGTGCGTGTACGCCCCCTGGCTGCCTCCGCCCGAGGTCTGCGACGATGCGATCTTTTCAGCCGGGTGGTTTTGCCTTGAGGTCGGCCTCGGGAGGGCCTGTCATCGAGCCCTGGGGCCAGCAAAAGTGGAGCCGGGGCGGAAAGTTACCCGGGAGAAGCGGTCGGGGCTTCTGGGGCCACGGGCTGCGTAAAGCAGGTCGGCGGATCTCATGGGCTGCAGCCTCCACGTGCAGTGTCTGCTTTCAGTTGTAGTTTTGTGTTTGATCGCGTCCCGTGAAATTGGCGTCGCCCCACCATACTAGTACTGTATGCGCGTCGCCCCCCCGGGGGCGACGCGCGCACCGAGAAATCTTGTAGTATTTGCGTCGTGGCGGGCGCATTCTGGCCACGCCGCTCGGGAAACGATCTACTACAAGACGGGTATACTACATGTTTGGGTCGGACGCGCGCCTCCAAGGAGGACATATAGTATTGGTATGTTTCTGTTCGTCCCCGTGAAAGCACTCGCGGCGAATGGAACACATGATATCGGAGAATGCCGGGGCACCTCGCCAGGCGGCACGGCTCATCTCTTTCCCGGCGGGAGGCTTCGGAGGGGCATTGGAGGCCAAGGGCAAAGACATGGCGGCGGAAGTGAAAACATTCCCCCCCGAACACACACACACACACACACATGTATCTATATATATATACATACATACATACATACATACATACAAGACTGCAGTGGCGCTTCGCGCCATGCACCTTGGTGCTTGAACATTGGTATGCAGGCGGAATAGCAGGAAGGTCAAGCCGACACTTTAGCGATCTCCTTGTTGCCTTTTCCGGCATCGCCGCTATAATCATGTCATTCGTTATCCTTCCTCCATGCTTATTTTTCATTTTCGCCACACCCTGCGCATTCTCCCATCCTCCTCAGCTCTTTTTTGCGGAGGCTCCTCCTTGGAGAGCCTCTGGGGGCCTCACACAAGCTGTTTCAGGCTTTCTTAAGGCCTTCTGGAGGCCTCCTGGGCGTATTCTGGGGGCCTCTGGGGGCTTCCTCAGACCATCCTGCCTCCAACCGCGGTCTCCCTGAACGACCGCGTCACGATTTGGAATGCTTCGGAGGGTGTCTTGGGGCCATCTTGGGCCGCCATGGGGCTCTCTGAGGGCCATCTTGGACCCGTGTTGTGCCGTTTTGGGGCTCTCATGGACTGCAGGAAAGCCTTTTCGGATGGTTGTGGGGCGATTTTGGAGCCTCCCAGGCGGCTTCGGACGCCCAGAGAACCGCCGTCTTGGAGCGTCGGGAAGCCGAAAAGAGGAGAACCCCCAAATTCCCCACGAACCAACAGAAAATCAATAATTTTTGGTTCTTAGGGGCCTTCTTGGGAGTGCTCTTGGAGGCCTCTTTGGGGCCGTCCTGGAGGCCTCTTGGGCCATCTAGAGGTCACGTCGGTCACTCTTGGAGCGCTCTTGTGCTGTCTTGGGGGTCTCTGGGACGTCTCCGATGATCCCCCTGATCGCCCTAGGTGTGCTGGGAAGGCTTGGCAAAACGCCCGGCGAGGCCCGGGGGGCCGCTTCGAGGCCCGTCCGGAGGGTCCCAAAGCCCCAGATCCTGGGAGTCCGGTTTTGCGGGGGGGAGGCCTCCGCCCATGCTTGTAAAAATACAGGAAGAGGAAGATGTGTAGATGTGTATATATATATATATGTTTATATATGCTTATATATGTTTATATATGTTCAGATATGTGGATGTATATGGGTGCAGCGCCGGGGGCCTTCTCCCAGCTAGCTGCCCCTGGTCGCCATAGGGGGTTCCAGACTCCCCGGGGACCCTCTCCAGTGACCTCAGAGCCGCCCAGACGGCCTGAGGTCGCTGGAGAAGGCCCCTGGGGACTCCGGGCAACCCTAGTTAGTTTCAAGATGGCCCAAGAGGATTTGACTTTCGCTCCCCAGAGGGCCTCACGTGGCAAAAACCATTGATTTATCTGCGGTTTTTCAATGTTTCTGGGATTCTCAACTTTCCAGCTTCCGACGCTCCACGTTGTCCCAAGAGGCTTCCAAGACAGCCCCAACATGGCCCATGAGACCCCCAAGACCGCCCTAAGGCGGGCCAAGAGGGTCCCAAGACGGCCCAAGGTGGCCCAAGAAGAGCCGCCCAGACGGCCTTCGTGGCGTGACAGTGGCACCAGAGGGCTGCGAGATGTCCCGCGGGCCAAGACGGTACTAGAGGCGCCGAAGACGCCCCAAGAGAGCTCCGAGACGGCCCCAAGAGGAACCCAAATTTAATACAATTTTGACACGAGCCGTGTCCTCGTCAAGGACGGCGGCGTGTCAAATTTCTGTTAAATTGTTGGGGCTCTGGGCCTCCTTTGGGGCTCCCTTGGCGGCCCTTTGGGCCCTCCCAGGCTATCATCAAAAGCTGTCGTGGGGGCCTGTGGGAGTCTCAGGAGAGCCCCAGGAGGGAGGTTTCTGGATGCCTTGGAGGCCCCACTGATCTCCAGAGTCCGGCGGCTCCAGAAAAACAACACACTCCCGAGAACGTGCAATTGTCTGTTCACGTCCACAGACGACGACCACCACCACCACCACGACCACTACGACGACCACCACGACGATCATCGCGACGGCGGCGGCGGCGGCTGCGGCGGCGGCGCCCGCGGGGGCGGCGGCGGCGGCGACGGCCTTGCGGCCCAGAGCTTCTGGGGCCCTCCTCGGCCACCGTGGCAGTCACGGCACTTGCGCAGTCTGGCAATCATTCGGAACCTCTGACGCGTCGCACGTCTATCATCGCACGGCTCCGCGACCGCCCACCGAGCCCTGAGCCCCCCCAGACGGCCCAGCACCTCCACGCAAGGGCGGCCCTTACCTGGGGAACCTCCCCCTGGGTACTTTGGGTTTCCTGGATCAGCGCAAGGTCTATTGACAACGACTGCGCAGTCGGCTAGACCCTAAGCGCGCGCTCGCGTAGCGCGAGTGGTTCTAGCATATATGTATAAATATATATATATACATATATATATATATATATATATACATACACATACACACGTAGATGTGCATACACACATGTTTATATATATATATGTATGTATATGTATGTGTGTATGCATGTACGTGCACATACACCTATACATGTATGTGCATGTATTTGCACATGTTTACAGATTCGACAGAGCGCGTTCTGTGGTGATGGGGGGGGGTTGGAACCCCGGACACCCCCCCCTGGATGGAGGGGGGGGGGGGTCGAACCCCCCCCCTCTCCCCCCCTGGGACTCAGAGGGGGGGGGGGCTCGAACCTCCCCCCCCAGCCCCCCCCCTCCCTCCCCTGCTTCCCCTCTCCTCGGGCCGGCGCATGCGTCGGCGGCGGCAGGCAGCGGCGGCAGGGACGACGATTTCCTTTTCTGGGCTGGCGCCGGCGCCTGCGGCGGCGGGCGGCGGCGGCGGGGAGCGTCGACGAGGACGACGGTGGTGGTGGTGGTGGTGGTGGTGGTGGGTTGTGGTGGTGGTGGCGGTGGTAGTGGTTGTGGTGGTGGTTGTGTGGTGGTTTGTTGTGGTGATGGTGGTTGTGGTGGTGGGTGGTGGTGGTGGTGGTGGTGGTGGTGGTGGTGGTGGTGGTGGTGGTGGTGGTTTGGTGGTGGTTTGGTGGTGGTGATGTGGTGGTGGTGGTGGTTGTGGTGGTGGTGGTGGTGGAATGTGGTGGTGGTGGTTTGGTGGTGGTGTGGTGGTGGTTTGTGGTGGTGGTGGTGGGTTGTGGTGGTGGCGGTGGTTTGTGGAGGTGGTGGTGGCGGTGGTGGTAGTGGCGGTGGTTGTGGTGGCGGTGGTGGTGGTGGTTCGTGGTGGCGATGGTGGGTTGTGCTGCTGGTAGTGGTGGTGGTTGTGGCGGTGGTGGTGGTGGCTTGGTAGATTGTGGTGGTAGTGTGGTAGTGGTAGTGTTAAGTCGTGCCTGTTCCTCTACAGTGGGAATATTCAAAGATAGTTTTTTTCAAATAGTCGGGGGATTTTGTTGAGTATTTCTTGACAACTTGGCAGTATTTTTTAATGTTTTGTTATTCGTCGAAAATTCCCCTGTAGGGGGACACGTCTGACTTAATGGTGGTGGTGGTGGTGGTGTGTTTTTGTGGTGGTGGTGGTGATAGTGAGTTGTGGTGGTGGTGTTTGTGGTGGTGGTGGTGGTGGCGGTGGTGGTGGTGGTGTTGGTGTGGTGGTTTGTGGTGGTGGCGGTGGGTTGTGCTGTTGGTAGTGGTGGTGGTTGTGGCGGTGGTGGTTGTGGTGCGGTAGATTGTGGTGGTGGTGGAAGTGGTGGTCGGTTTTTGTGGTGGTGGTGGTGGTGGTTGTGCTGGTGAGTTGTGGTGGTTGTGGTGGTTGTGGTGGTGGTGGTGGTGGCTGTGGTGGTGGTGGTGGTGGTTGTGTGGTGGGTTGGTGGTGGTGGTGGTTGGTTGAGGCTGTGGTGGTGGTGGCTGGTGGCAGTGGCGGTGGTGGTGGCCGTGGTGGCAATCGTCGCTGCGTCCCCGCCGTCGCCGGTGCTGGCCGCCGCCAGCGCCGGCGCCGGCGCCAGGGGGGGGTTCAATCCCCCCCCGCCCCAACCTTGGGCTGCCTCTGGTCATCGTCGCTGCTTCCCCGCCGTCGGCGCCGCTGGCGGCCGCCAGCGCCGTCGCCGGCGGGCGCCGAGGTGGGGGGGGTTTGAAACTCCCGCTCCCGCCTTGGGAGGAGGGGGGGGTGGTCGGAAGGGGGGGGGGGTGGGGGGAGGGGAGTCCCCCTGGTTTTGATCGACGGCGCCGAGTGTTGGGGGCGAGGGCCCACCCTCCAGTTCGAAACGCGCCGCCGAATGTTCCCAAGGCAAGCGCTCCTGAAGCACGTTCTCTCACATATTCGTGTGTAGTACGTATGTATACCGATATCTGTATATATATATATATATATATGTTGAATGATTCAGGGTTTCTGGGGCCCGCCAGGTGGACGCCGAGGGCATGCCCATCCTGCAGATTTTTGCGAAGAACGCCAAGGAGGCGCTGAAGGACGGCTCGAAGACCGAGTCCCTGGTCAAAAGGGTGCGCATGTTCGCGGGGCGCGAGGTGATGGGCTCTCGTTCTGTCTCTCTCCCTCTCTCTCTCTCTCTCTTTCTCGCCCTCTCTAGCTCTCGTTTTCCGCCAAGACTTGCATCGAACACTGGGCTAGCCTTCCCCAATTATCAATGCGACCCCGTCTACACAGCGAAACGCAGGGTGGGGAGGCCCAAATCCAGATGGATCGACGACGCCCGACGTTGTATTGGAGTCCGGATGGGGTGGGATGACAGAATTATTTCAGATTTATCGTGTTTGCGTCGACAGATATGTGGGACAATCTGGCAGCAGATTTTGAGGCATACGACGAGTGCGGGCCAGGCGTTTCATGCAGCATTCTGACGCTCTGGCGCCGCACCGGCAGCACACTAGACGGATCCCCACCACCGCCGCCAGCCACCTATCGACCTCCGGCTTCACCTGATCGGCTTCCAGCTTCCAGCTTCCAGCTTCCGACTCCCAACATTCACCGCCAGCTGTCGCTTGCCAGCTTCCCGCCTCCAGCTGTCGACCTCCACATGTCTTCAGCTTTCGATCTCCACCCATCGGTTTCCCGACCTCATATAAGTACCTGACCGACTTTCAGCTTGCAGCTTCCCACTCCCGCTATCCACCAACAGCTGAGGACATCCAACTTCCTGCCTCCAGCGTTCGGCCCCCGCCCAGCGACCCCTCGCCCCGTGTGGCCGACCTCCAGACTCCAACCTCCGACCCCCAGCAGTCACCACCGCTTCTACCGCCACCCAGTCTTCCGCCGCCAGCCTCCGACCTCCGCCTGTCGACCTCCGAGCCTCGAGGGCAAGATCTTCAGCCTCGAGTCTGTGGAGAGCGCGCACCCGAGGCGCAACAGTACAGGAAAGGTCCGGGGAGTAGTGGTATCGGTTCTTGTTGGTTTTCCCATGTCCATGCGTACGCATCCGCATTGGGCCTGTCCCGCTCACCACCCACCAAACCACCCCAACCCAACCCGAAGGCCCAAATTTATCCTCGATTTCCAGTGGGGGGGGGTCGGGGAACGTTGAAAAAACACATGGTATCCGTACCCCCCCCAACCCGAAATTCGGGTCAAATTCGGGTCTTCGGGTTGGGTTGGGGTGGTCTGGTAGGTAGTCACCCGCGTGCTCGCCTTCTTGCCCCTGACGCTCCTGGCCTCACCGTTCCGTGCCAGTTCCTGGCGGAGGCCCGGCGGCGCTCGGGCGGCGTCGTCCGTGCGGGCAGGAGGAGGAGGAGGAGGGAGGAGGAGGGAGGGGGAGGAGGAGGAGGAGGAGGAGGAGGAGGAGGAGGAGGAGGAGGAGGAGGAGGAGGAGGAGGACGAGGAGGACGAGGAGGAGAAGAAGGGGGAGGGAGGAGGAGGAGGGAGGAGGAGAAGCTGTGGATGGGAAGTTGCCACAACGGAGCTTTGGAGCACGATCGAGCAGGGCCGCCGAGTGATCGGGCCTCGTCTTCTGACGCTCTGACGCCTTCCTCTCATGTCTAATGCAGGTGGATATGTCTGAGGGCCGACTGACAGTGAGCACCCCATTCCAATACGCAGCATTCGCTCCCAATCTTCGATCTGGTCTTCCTCTCGGTGTTATCAGGTATTTTCAATCGCAGATTTGGCTTCTACGCTTGACATGCAGCTCGTAATCCCTATGTTGCTTCGCTCTCTCGCGTTCTTTTGTCAAGAAAGAGAAAACATCTGCTGACGCGCTGGCGCTCCAGCGCCACACCCCCGCAGCGCCGTCGACGGTGCCAATGTTTTGCGGGCGTGCCTCGCGCCTCGCGTGCTCCGCGCCTGGCCTCCGTCGTGCTGGCCCTGCTGTCGGCTGCTCGTTGGCCCTGCAGGCGGCTATTTCCCGAGTTGCCCTGGCCACGCCCACCCCCTGCTCTTCAGTCGGGCCTGGCCCTCCAGAGGAGGAGTGTCCAAACATAGTCTAAGCATAGTCCGGGGACGAGATTTTTCTGTTATGTTTGAATATTATTTTGACTGTTTGTTGGGTATGTTCCATTTTTCGTCCAAAATCCACCTGTAGGAGGACACGCCAGACATGACCCTACCCACCACAGGGATGTGGGACACAGGGAGAGGCACAGGAGCATGACAGCAAATGACAGGAAGTGAGATACGTAACGCGTCCCCCCTCCTCGATGCCACTCTCTCTGCTTCCTCCCCCTGCCCCTGCTCCTGTCAGTGCAGGACCCATGACGATCCGCTCGATTCGATCCGATATCGACTTCGGCCTGCTCGATTCGATCCGATTCCAGCATTAAGGATTCGATGCGGCCCGATACCTGTATGGCCCTGTTGTGCATCCTGGCGCAGCCGATCCGATACGATTTCGACTCCGTGCCAATGCAGCTCGATCCGGCGCGCATTACAGTTCGTTCTGGATTTCCAATTCGACGCTGGCTGATTCTGCGGTGTTGGCAGGCGGTGCCTGGGAGGAGTCGGGCGTGTGGCGTGAGCCGCCTTCGCGACGGGCACCGAGGCCTCCCGTCCCGACCGGGGTGGGGGGTCGCTTCCTGCAGCCGCGAGCGCCCTGGACGTCGACGGCGGCCGAGCAGAGCTGGCCAGGCCCCAGCGGGAGGCCTCAGCGGGAGGCGCGGCTGAGGGGCAAGCGAGCTCGGCAGGAATCTCTGCTCGTGCGTCGAGGCTCGACGCCAGATCCATGCCCCTGCTGCTGCCTCCCGCTCTGGTCGCCAGGGGGGGCCAGGGCATGGGTAGCAAACGTGCCGAAATTCATTCGCGCCCCCCGCTCTGGCTCCTCGTGGGGTCGGGGCGTGCGCAGGGCGATGGTTAAGTCGGGCATGTCCCTCTACAGGAGGAGTATTCGAGAAGAGTAGAAATAGTCAGGTGACGATGTTTGGTGCTCTTCTGACTAGTTTTGATTATCGTTCGACTAGTCTGAATTCGTCGTCCAAAATCCGCCTGTAGGAGGACATGCTCGACCTAAGGCAGTGGACAACATGTCGATCGCCTACGTGCGGGCGCTGCGAAAACATCCATCGCTGTGGAGATCTCTGGACGCCCCTCCAGGAGGTCCCAGGATGGCGCCCAGAGGCCTCCAGGGAGGCCGCCTGGAGGTCTCTTGGGGACTCCCCCCAAAAAGGCAAACGCGCCCCAGACATCGATCCACTGATTTCCTGACATCGCATGGGTTTCGCACCAGGGTCGGGCCCCGGGACCATCACAGATCGATCCAGCTCGAAAACATGCAGCACAAAGATGGGGTCTGGGGTACCCGTGGAGATCTCGAGCGATGTTTGATTGTTTTCTTCGGGAAGCCCAAGGGCTGCGCACAAACAGCTCCCCCCAGGTAGCCCCAGCCGGTCTCGGTGGGCTCCCCGCTGGTCTCCACGGTCCCCCGTGAGTAGCCTGGGGCGTTCTCAACACCCCAAACCTTGGGCGCTCCGCGTCCTGGGTTTGGGGTGTTGAGAAGGGAGGAGGAGGAGGAGGAGGAGGAGGAGGAGGATGGGGGGAGGGGAGGAGGAGGAGGAGGGGGAGGAGAGGAGGAGGAGGAGGAGGAGAGGGGAGGGGAGGAGGGAGGAGGAGGAGGAGGAGGAGGAGGAGGAGGGGAGGAGGAGGAGGAGGAGGAGGAGGGCTCAAGGCTAAACGTTGTGAAGGGCTATAAACGCCCGAGAACCAGCGATTAGCTTTGGCTGGTCCGTCCCCATCTGCTCGATTGCTCGGGCGCCAGCCTGCCCTTCTCGGCACTCTCGCCCCGACGGCCCAGCTTCGCCGTCGGCTTTTCTTTAGGGTCGCACTCTTCTCCGCTGCGGCAGGGGCCGCCGCAGTCTGCAGTGCTCAGCCATGTCTCTCTTCGCAGCCGCTGGCACGGGAGCTTCAGGATCGCCTAGTCAAGATCAACGGAAGCGACCAGCATCTGCAGGAGCCCTTTTCTCAAGAAGAAGACCCAAGTGACGGTCTTCAGGGCCAGCTCGAGGCTCTACGTGCCGAGCTACTCGAAGAAGTGGCTAAGACGTCAGCAGCTATGCAGGGTACGCTCAGTGGTCTATCTTCGAAGGTGGTCTCGACGTGCTCGGATATGCAGAAGCAGGTGGAAGAGCGTTTGTCCCGCACCGAGAACACGCAGCGCACGCAGGCGCAGGATATCAAAGAACTGCAGGACGACGTCAAGAAGCTGCGCGCAGAGCTGGGAGTTGTTAAATCAGAGCCGAAGGCCACCACGACGTTCACGCCGATCGCGCTGGAGCCCAACTTCAACAGGGAGATCGACATCTCGGTCACCATCGTGCGTTGCAAGTATCAATGTGCCAAGGCGGCCGTCGAGCAGGCCTTGCAGCCGTGGCTCACGCGGCTCAACTTGGAGCAGGGCGAAGTGGAGTTGCAGGGTGACCCCACTGACAAGAGGTTCGTGCTCCAGTTCAAGGGCTCAAAGGCCTATGCGGGAAGGCGAGTTCAACAGGCCCTCGCACTCCTTCGTCCACAGGCCCCAGGGCAAGAATGGCTCCGATTCCACACAACGGCGGTGTCGGGTGAGAGGTCTGAGCTGTTCGTGGGCCCAGACAAGAACCCATGTCAGGCACGTCGGGAGTTGGCGCTTAAGTTGGCAAAGCAGCACCTCATGCAGAAGTTCCCTGAGAAAAAGTTCTTCCAGGACAAGCTGTGGGGGGCGATGTCGTGTAGTTGGCGTCAGCTGGTGCAGATCACCCATCTGCCCGACAGTGATGTGCCGCAGACCCGCTGGGCCAAGGAGAACCTTCGTCTCGATGGGGATGTCGAGGGCGCACCTGGAGGACGGTCTCACCAACGCGCTTGAGAGTGACGGGCATACCTCGTGGTCTCTTTAGCAGGTTTCACGCCTTGTGGGGAGGTGCCCACAAGGCCCACGCGCCTCTTCGCATTGGCACGTGGAACGCGCAGGCGTTGATGCACTTCCAGCCAGCTGTCAGATGTGCTAAACTTAATACCTCCGTCGCCTCCTCCGCCCTGGGTCACATTGCCGCGCAGGAAGCTCATGGCACGATTGCTGAAATTGAAGATTTCCTCCACTCCTCGAACCTCG